CTCCATTAACACTTGTGTAAACATAATGTTAAACTGCAGAACTTTTAGTCAGTAAACCCTTTAGTCCAAACCCTCTTGTCTTTTTGAATTCCTCAAATTGAAGATTTGTAGAAGAGAAAGAGGCTGAAGTGCTTATCAGACAAGCTGGCTACCTATTTACGTTAGATTATGTATAAAATGTTAATTAGAAATTTTACATTCCTATGGGATAGTGGATCCCTTTACCTGAGAGACTGCTGACTGCTTACATCTTTTCCCCTTACATGTACTACAGCAACTAAGACCTGCTGACTGCTACTTTTGTCATTTCCTGGTGTTATACTCCTAAATATATGAGGTCCCAGGGGCAAACCCTCTGGAGGCATAATCAGGTTTGCAGGAAGCTTTTTTTTTCAGTTGTGGGTTCTTAGCTATTCAATGAACTCCATGCAAAAATCAATCAGACATGGTGTGAGACAAACTTTGGGACAGTGTATGGCTTTATTGGTTTAATCATATTGTTAAAGGATTGATGGTCAAACAGACAGTTTTGTAAGGTTATTTGGTTAATTATATATTTTTAAAGAGACTAGTGTTTTCATATTTGTCCTCTTTAATTATTTTGTGGTAGGAAAGAAATAAGAACCAGTCATGCTGTAAACCCATAAATTATTATTTTTTAAAATACAAATGAACTCCCCCCACCTCCCAAGCTTAATAAAAATATATATGGTTTCTACCTTGAAACATAATTCTATCCAAACCTTGCAGAACATGAAAATATTCCCTGATAAAACAGATAATTTTAAGGGTTTTTGGTTGTAGTTCTGTTGGTCTAAGGATATAGGCAGACAAGTTTCTTTGGGTAGATGTCATATCTTTTATTAGACTGAGTAGCAGGAAAAAAGTTCTTTGCAAGTTTTCAGGCACAAACACCCTTCTTCAGGCACAGGGAGTCTCTGCTGTTTTGAGTTATTCAAGGAATGAAAGAAGCTGAAAGTGTGACAGGATGTCAGTGAGAATGTAAATAGGTGGAAATTAGGAAAGCAAAGGGTAGAGAAGGGATCGGGGGAAACGAGGGGGAAATAATGTCAAAGGTAAGTGAGCGAGACTCTACTGTAGTTGAATTCTTCAAGGTAAAAAAGAAGCTGTGAAAAAGTAAACAGCTAGAAATTAGGAAGATAAAGGATAGAAAAGGAGGGGAGGCGAGGAAGAGGGGGAAAGAAAAGTGCAGGTACCTAGTGAATCAGATGTCAGGTAGGTTGTAATGCATCAAAAATCCATGTCTATATAAGGTCCATGATTTTTCGTATCTGATAAATTTAAGAAGTGAAGTACATAGGTTCATTTATGAAAGGTGTTTTGTAAATTCCCATTGAGGATTAGAAATGAGAGATCAGAGAGGGAGTGATTGTCTTGTGAGAAGTGTGCACCCCACATGGTAATTGGATATTTTTGTCTTTGATGGATTTTTGGTGTGTGTTCATTCCCATCCACAGTTGTTGTTTGGTTTCTCCTACATAAGTTCCATCAGGGCATTTGGTGCACTGGATGAGATGTATAATATTTCTGGAGGTGCAGGTATAAGATGCAGTAGTGGTGAAGGTTCTGTTGTGGGGTGTGGTTATAGTAGGAGTGGTAGAGATGTGTTGGCAGGTTTTGCATTTCTTGTCCTGCCATGGTCTGGATCTATTAGGTGTGGTTTGAGTCACAGGGAGTTTGCTTCTGGTGATGAGGTTAGCAAGGTGTGGTGCTTGTTTAAAGGCTAGGTATTTCTGGAAAGAGCTTGTCAAGAATTGGGTCTTCCTTTAGTAGGGGTTGCAATTGTTTGAGGATTTTCCATGTAGGTTCCAGCGAAGGGTGATATGTCATAACTAATGCGATTCGTGGGGATTTTCTTTTTGTACTGCAGCAAACCTTTGCATGGTATCTGGTAGGCCTGTATGAAGCGGTAAGTATTGGCTTTGGATTTGGATTTGGCTAACTTGGAGAACAGCAATTCGATTTGGAGATTCGAATTACTGTCCTGATTTGATTTGGCTGAATCAGATCTGGAAGTTTTGGTGTCACTTTGGATATTTGGCCATAGACTAAACAGGTTAGCACAGCTGCCTCCAGCTGGTAAGTCTGTTGCGGGGCGGGGGAAGGATTGGGGCTAGGGCTGGGACAAGCTGCCAAGCCAGGGCGGGAGCGAGCGTTACTTGGGAAGTGGGGGCAGAGTGGTATGGGATGCGGGCATGGCAGCACTCTGAGCGAGGGAGTCTGCCCTGCTGCCACTTGCCCAGCTGTTCTGGGGGGGAAGGGTGAGGGGGGTGCAATGCAGGCTTGGCTTGCTCCAGGCAGAAGGGGGCAAGCAGCAGCAGGCCATAGCCCCTGCTCCCAATGCTGCCATGCCCACATCCTCCCACCCTTCCCTCAACCCCAACAGACTTACCAGCTGGAAGCAGCTGTGTCACCTGCCTGTTTAGTCTATGGCCGAATCACCAAATTGATTTAGATGCTTCCAATTGATTCAGAGCTTTAAATAGGTCTCTTGATTCAATTAGGATTCGGAGATTTGGTCTCCGAATCAGGCCGAATCTCCTATGAATCGAACTGGCTTCCAAAGCTTCGCACAGTCCTAGTATCTGGATGGCTCTTTCAAAAATAAAATTTCTCTCTCTTGAGAAGTGTCCTTGTTGGGTGAAGACCCTTTTCAGATTTGTAAGGTGCTGATTTTTTTTTAAATTCTTTTTTAATATATTATGTTTTCATAATGTTATTGTTATTTTACCTTGAGAAATCACTTTGAGAAATACCATTTCCAATTACATGAAAATAAATGGAATTATTTTTCTTAGGGAAAATGTGTATAATGTAAAAACAATAATCAAACAAAGGTAAAAATGTGACTACTTTAAAATACTAACAATGGAGGAACAAAAAGCAGTCAGTGGTGGGTAAGATCCATAAAACATATACAGGAGAAATTCATAGAGAGTTTGCTCTTCATATTAATGAAGGTAGAGGTTTAATGCTTACAAAATATAATCTGACTCTGCTCCACAGCAGGACATTATTCTTGAGAGAACTGCTGCCTGCTATAATTGCTGTTTTAAACAAAATCCTAAAATAATTACATAATTTGAAATTTTACTGTTTTACTACAACAAGAAATCTCTACATTTTTAACGTAGTTCAAAACGAAATGGGCCCCATACTGTTTCCACTTCATTAGTACTCCTGACTCTTTTCCTGTTTTGAAGAATATCCTTGAAAAATTCCTTTTTTCTTACTCATTCCTTTTCCCTATATTCTTTTGTATCAACAACCACTATGAAACCCACTAGTGGCGACAACCACTGGTAATTACAAACTTCTTTGCATCAATGTTTTCTAATGTGGATTAGTTGCTCAGAACCCCTCATTTGTTTTTTTCTCAAACACTTCCTCACAGGGTTACTAATTATCAAGCTTTATTAAACCATTTGGCAGCTAGGAGCAGCGGGGAGAAGGAGGACACAGGCGCACGTGTGTTTTGTACACACGTGTGCCCCCCTTACCAGACCCGGAGCGGAGCGACGCAGAGGCGAGAGCAGAGGAGGTGAGCAGAGCGGCAGTGGGGCCAGCAGCAGCTGATCCCCATAAGGTAAGTGGCGCGGAGAGACCGGCGCAGCTGAGCCGGATACGGAGGGGAAGCCCCCCGGGTCCCTCTTTGCTGAGCCAGTAGGGAGCCGCGCTCCCGAGCCGCGCAAACAGGCGTGGGCTAGGGGGACTGCCCCCAAGCCAGGGAGCACCCCTGGGGTAAACCCTCGGGGGGCGGACCCCAGAGCCGCCGGGCACCCCAGCCGGGGAGCGCGGGGGGCAGGACTGCCAGCAGGCACTTCCGGCGGGTCCAGAAGGCCTGATTGGTGGATAGGACAGCGGCGGGTAATTCAAACCGCGGCCTTTAAAAGCC